GCGTCGCGGGAGCAGGCCTTAGATGAAGAATATCGCTGGGGGCCCGAGGGCGAGTTGACAGCAGCAGTTGGCGACGGCGTCTCTGCTGGCAACACACTCGCCGGGGCTAAGGCGCACCCGGGGGTAGTTCAAAGATTGGAGGCCCTTTGCTTGCAAGAGCGGCATCACATCACAGAACTTTGGAATGACAGCGCGGGGCGGCACGCGACGTCGAATTCTGAAATAAGCCGGTGTTTGAGAGAGAACGCTCGTGAACGCCAGGGGAGTCCACGCGGTGACGGCGCACTCTTTCCGCAAATGCCCCGTGGGTGGGACCTGGATGTGAGCGACGCTAGACTTGCTCTGTCTGAAAGCGAGGTCCTCGACATCCTCTTGGCACTGCCTAAACACAAGGCCCCAGGGACCACGGGAGCGTTTGTATAAGCTGCACGCTGATGTGTTGAACACGGTTTTTGTAGAAGTTTTCCATGGCCTTCCGCACGGAGCACGCGAGGCGCCGTCTCACATGACGGATTTCCTTTGGCACGCAATTCATAAGAAGCAGGGGGCGGATACCATTGCATTGCTGCGCGATCTCGAACTTCCGAACGAAGACGCCAAAATCCCAGGCCGCATGCCGTGCCGAATCCTTGACCAGGCTGCAAGGGAGCAGCTCAGGCGGAGACAGCAGGCCTTTGTAACGGCAGGGCGGATCGAGCGCAACATCGTCGAAATTGCCGAAGCCATTCGCGCTGACCGCGGCGACGTGGCCGCGCTTAAATTCGTTATGTTTCTTGATTGTTCGAAAAGACTCAATCTTTTATTTTTTTCCCCAGCGCTATTTTGGGACCACGCCGCTTTCGCTCACGCGGGCCTCCCGGTGCAGCTCTTGAGAAGCATCCAGCGGCTCATGCACACGCACCGCGCGTTTCTTACGTGGTCAGGCGACGTGTTTCCACCTGTGTGCTTCTTGGCAGGGTACTCACAGGGGCATCCGTTGTCTGTATTCATATACATAATCGCAGTCGACCCCTTCCTTGCACGGGCTGCTGCGGCGCGTGGCGTCATGCATGTCTGGGGCTTTTGCGACGATTGGAAGCTTCTCTTTGATGCTGCAAGTGTTGCGGGCGAACTTGTTGCCATGTTTGACACATTTGAGCGGGCATCTGGCCAGGTCTTCAGTCGGGAGAAGACTGCGTGGATGCCGAGTCGCGCGCTGACGGCTTCGGAGGAAGCGTGGCTGGCAGACAAATGGCAAGAACCAAACATCGCAACGCGGCATCAGTCCTTGGGGTTTTGGTTCGGGCGGGATGCCTCTGAGGCGGATCTTCTACACGATCCGCTCGTCAAGTTAAAGTATCGCCTGCCCCTGCTTCGAAGCGGCCACACGAGCCTCTCCACGAGGCTTCTGGCCTGGAACGTGTTTGCCGCCCCTCTCTTGTCATTCGTCATGCAATTTTGTTGAATATCTAGGCAGGTCTTACACGACGTTCGGGAGCTAGCTTTATCGTTTTCCGAGAGAGTGCGGTGGGCTACCTTCCAGGTATTTTGCCATACGAAAGCTTTGTTCAAAATGAAGCTCGAATCCCAAGACCCATTCTTAATGAACGTGGCACCCCTGATCGCCACGGGCTGGGAAGCGCTGGAGAAATCCAGCCAGATCTCATGGCTGGGTGGGAGGGTGATCAGCGAGCTGCGTCTGTGCAGCGGCAGACAGGCGGATTGTGTCCGTTGTCATGTTTCGCCAAGGCGTTTGGTATTTTCCGCGCCATCGTCGGCCGCACTGTGAGCGAAGTGCTAGCTGAGGCTGCCGGGAGGGGCCGCGCAGTGGACAAATGCATGTTTCGGTTAGTGCATCGGGCGCTTCATTCTTCTGAACTTTGGAGTGCCAAAAGCATTGTTTCTGGTAGGCTGCGAGCTCGGGGGCTTTCTTGGGCGCCGATTGAGCGGAATTTGCGTCACATGCCTTCTTCTGTGCCTGCAGAACATCGGGTCTCGCTCATGCGGCGGCTGTTGAACGGCGAATTGACCTCACGGCGGCTCGCACCGGTGTTGGGACAGATGGTTCAACCGTGCCCCTTCTGCGGAGCTGAGCACGGCGATGGTGCAAGGCATTGGGATGAGTGCAGCGTTTTACTTTCCGTTCGCAGGGGGCTCGGCCCAGAGTACGCGCAACTGACTGTTGGCCAGCTCTGGCTGCAGGAAGATGTTGCTGGCGGGGGAGAGCTACAAAGAGTCCTTGCGTACACGAGCGCGGTGGTGCGACTTCGCAGGCTCCTGCTCTAACCCGGCGTTGCTTTCTACGACCTTGAAGACATGATACGCCACGTTCGGCGCTTGAGCGAGGACCCGTGGATTACGGGGTCTCCGGCTGAGAGTACCCGGGCCGAGCGGCGTGCCTTGCGCGAACCCGCCTACGCTGAGGGGTGGGTCGTCTACGCGTCGGACGGAGCGAGCCGGCGTCAGGGCACTGCAGAGGTGAGTCTGTCTTCATTCGGGTGTGTTCGTTACGCCGACGGCACCCGGCGCGTCGTGGCCTCCCGCGGTGCGCAACTTGGCCACGTCGCAAACAATGTTGCGGAATACACGGGCTTGTTGGAACATCTGCAGCATGCTTTTCTGTACCCTGCCGAGCAGATGCGGTTTCACGTCGATTCGTTGTTGCTTGCTCGTCAGGTCAACTGCCAGTGGCGGTGCCGAGCGCCTTCGTTGCGGCCTCTCTTCGAGACAGCACTGCGGAGACTGCGAAGACTGCGCCGCCTGCCTGCCGCGCGCGCGTGTGAGGTCATCCACGTTTACCGAGAGCTTAACGTTGATGCTGACGCCGTGTGCAACACTGTTTTGGATATGGTCGCCGATGGCATCGCGCCACAGCGCACGGGTGTCCATGTCTCGCACAATTGGGAACCTTTGGACTCGGGCGCCTGACCTAGATGCGTATCGGTGGCGACACTGGGGCCGCTGCAGTTCGTCCACTGCTCTGCGGAACCGCTCTGACCATTCGCCGCCCGACCAGCTGTCTGCTCGGAGGGAGGGTGGGAGGAGGGAGATGATGAGGAGTGCACGGATAAAACTCTAGACGAATGACTACACTAGGTATGTTAGGCCGCGGGCCCCGTTGTACGGCCCGCACTCTGATAAGTCGCGAACCCCGCAAACGCGTTCGCATAACTTTTCATCACAACGACTCCTCTGGTTACTCGCTCAGCGGGTAGTTTCATCATAGTTTCTCAAGCCACACATTCGTGTATACTTGCACCGTTGCTCATTATACCTTCCTCCTTTAAGATTCGCCTCCTCCTTCCCCTTCCTTCTTCTCGGTCTCTCCATTCTCTGACACAGACGGCTGTCTTGTCAAATGCGTTTGAAAAGTCTCGGCGCGTGCACAAGTTGGAAGATGCGCGATTTGTTGCGCTGATTTCTGCGGCCGAATCTCTGCTCGGTACGGATTGTTGTATATCTATGTATACTCATGTTTTTGATAGAACAAAATTAAAAACCCAAAAAAACAAAAACAACAAAACCAAAAACGTATATATATGTTAATAATATATGTATGCTTTTGTTTTTTTAACAATATATATATATATACATATATATAAACACACAAAAAAAAAAAAAAAAAAAAAAAAAAAAAAAAAAAAAAAAAAAAAAAAAAAAAAAAAAAAAAAAAAAAAAAAAAAAAAAAAAAAAAAAAAAAAACGCACATTCGCCTTACAAAAATGCCAGAGCTTCACGGATTGAGGGCGGATGGTTTTCAAAACGTGGCTCTCGCCTTAGCGCCGCGCAGTTTCGTTTCAAAACAATGTGAAAGGGCGTCAAGGATTGAGGACGGGCCGTTTTCAAAATGTGGCTCTCGCCTGAGCGCCGCACACATTCGTTGTAAAATTGCACGAGTTTCACTGGTTGAAGGCGGGCTGTTTGCAAAATGTGGCTCTCGCTGTAGCGCCGCGTACATCCGTTCAAACAGAACGCAACAGTTACGGATTGAGGGCGCATGGTTTTCGAAACGTGGCTCTCGCCTTAGCGCCGCGCACAGTCGTTTAAACAAATTGTGCAAAGTTGCACGGAGCCCCCTGGCGCTACGTACCAGAAATGGCATTTGCGGAAGCATTTAGGATTGTCAGGGCGCAACAGTTACGTTGATTCGCGGTGGTGAAGTCCTAGAAACGGTGTTTCGACACGATTCAGAATCGTCAAGACGCAACAATCAACTTAATTCGTGGCGTTAGATGCCGCGAGAATGGTGGTTTCGCACGTTTCTTGATCTTCAAACGGTAGTCTCCCAATGGGGCACTTCCCACAGTGGAAATGAATATTTCCAGGGGCCTATGAAGAGCGATCCTGGAGGGAGGGTTTATTCCAACATCGTTGATGAGTCTTGGTTTAAACTGGTCCTCCTCCTCCTCGTCCTCTTTCTCTTCCTCCTCCTCCTCCTCCTCTTCCTCCTCCTCCTCCTCAACATCATCATCATCATCATCATCATCATCATCATCATCATCATCATCATCATCATCATCACCCTCATCCCTCCTGCCTCCTCCTGCCTCCTCCCTCCTCCCTCCTCCATCCTCCCGCCTCCCGCCTCCCGCCTGCCGCTTGCCGGTTGCCTCCTCCTCCTCCTACTCCTCCTCCTCCTCCTCCCTCCCTCCTCCCTCCTCCATCCTCCTCTTACTCCCTCTTCCCTTTCCTCCTGGTAGCAGCACGTTATGACGTGCATCCCCCCCCCTCCCGAGCCTCCTGACCCCTGGCGCGGAGGCAGCATCGGCCAGCATCGAATCCGGGAATAAGATCGAATCGGAATGTGCGCCGCATCGGGCCGCATCAGCACGGAGCGGAGATCGAATCGAATCGGCTGCACAAGAATGCCCAAGAGCGCCATTCAAGCATCGGAACGTATCGGATCGTCGGAACATCGGAACCAAATCGGTTCGAGCCGCCCGACCTCGATGTCGAGACGGATCGGCCAGATAGAAATGGACCCTGGGTGGCAGAATTGGCTGCAGGCCCATGGATACGTCTTTACCAGGCCCTTCCCTTTCATCTCGATCTGCCCCCGCTCGACCACAGCTGCGGAAGCCCACTGCGGGAGCTCCTGGAAAGTCTCCTGCTGAGGAACAAACAAGGGCATAACCATTAACTTTCTTAAGTTCCGCGCGGACTTCTTGGATCGATTATAGGCACCCTTCCTCGAAGGGCGCGCGGAGCGCGCCAGGGGCGGCGCATGATGCGCCGACCAAGAGCCAACGCCGATCCGAGAAATCCGAGCGGATGTCCGATTGTTTTTGTTTTACGATCCTGGCCGAACTGCACGGCACCGCGGGCCCCCTTCTGCATCATCCGTGCGGCCGTGTTCACGGTGTCCCCGAAGAGGCGGAAACGCGGCAGCTTCTCGCCTACGATGCCTGGCCGGGCGGCCCTCGCCACAGGCACCACGATCCGACTCTGCCCCCGCGCATCCCCCCCCCTCGCACCCTCTCGGTGGAATCGGCGAGAAGGGGGGGGGACGGGGAGATGTCGGATCGACTGGCGTGCTGTGAAGATGGTATCCGAGATGCCGGCGACAAGGGGGCCGGTGTGCACGCCGATCTTGAGAGCCACGTGGGGGCGCTCGCTGGCGGCCGACCCAGAAGGACTGCCAGGAAGAGCCGCGTCCAGGGTCTGCTGCTTGTCGAGGACTCCCAACGCCGCTGCGAGCAGCCGGCCTGGTCTGAATACGAGAAGCGCCCGCTTATACTGCACATCCCCAACCAGACACTCCCCCAGGCCTGGCGAGAGATTGGTTTTCGGCGAGCCTCTAAGGACCGAGGGGGGTAAAGAAATGGGATGGAAGGACACATGTTTTCCGTACGCGTACGTCACGGGCGGTAAAGCGGGTCTACAAAAAAATCGAAAAGCGGGCGCGCCAGGATTCATCCCTAGAGCCCCTTTGGCACAGGATGCAAGACAGCAGGCATCAAGCAAGGCGGGAGTGACAAGAGACAGGAAGAACCCCCTTCGACTCTGGAGCTCAAACAAGTCCGTCGTGCACTCGCTGGCACTAACCAGTCGCAAGGAGGGTTCTCAACTGACAGCACCTTCATACAAAATAGCCTGCTACAAGGGATGTCGTACTGACCGAGCTTGTTCATATAACACGCATGCCAAAAGCGCAACGCTAACCGCGCAAAAGACAGATGGGGTACTCTTCTGACCGCACCCATCCTAAAATTTGCCAGCCTCCTGCGAGCGAGAAAAGACTGGCGGAGCACAACTACATGTTTGCTGCTGCTCCAACAACCGAGTTAACGGGAACAGAATTCACGTGCATGCTCGACTTCCGCATTGCTCTCGCCTGACAACGCCCGCAAACTCGACGATACGGAAGCTGAATTTGCGACGCGGCCTCAAGAGTCGCCTATTCACTATTGGATGAGAAAGCTGCGCTGGGAGCTCGGGGCGGCCTTCTCCTGCTTCTCGCCGCTAAACTTGACTGGACCGTGGTCATACTTGATCTGGCTGCTCATCACCCTGAGGGCGAAGTCGCGGCCCATGCTACCCTCGGCCATAGGGTCGGTCCGCGTGTCCCGAGCATCGCACGGGAGGAGGTCCTCGATCTGCTCGGCGCGCAGCTGGTCCACTAACCACCACAAATGGCCTGCCGCGCTTTCCTCGGCAGGCGGCCCCACCGGGTCCACGAGCAGGGCGCTGAAGACGATCATGTCGCCTACGCAGGGATCGCGCAACCTCCTTCCCCCTCGAGCCCCGCGATTTCCGCGGCAGAGGCGGGGCTGCGCACCATCTCACGCAGCTCAGAGAGGCGCGCCCGCAGTCCGTCGGCTGCGCCGCACGCTGCGAGCAGCTCTGAGCCGAACGAGGAGCTGCACACCAGCTCGCGCGATTGGCTCGCTGGGCTCAGCAACTGGCGCACCTGGCTGCCGGCGCGGCGGCACTTGCTGAATCGCACGTATACGTTTTTTTTTTCACATACCGCTCACCTCCTTCCTCTTAACCGACCAGTCGCGGTGCGCGCTGATTCGCCCGGCACACTCTATAGCTGGGAGAGCGATGCGCGCCTTGGATCTTCTGCGCGGTTTAAACGACTGAGTCGAGCTGCATCACGCGCCGGGCAAACAGCGCGCTCTTCGATCTCTACAGGGCGATGATGCACACGGCGACGCGTTGCTGGGCAAGCAAGGCGTCGGCCGCTGCTCCCAGGAGGGAGACAAAGACGTCTGGAAGCTGAACTCCAGCCAGCTCGTAGGCCTCGACGCGCCCGCTCAGCATGACGTCGACGCACTCGCCCTGGTCGAGTGCCACGGCGCCATCGGCACTGCGGCGCTGGAAGAGATCGTCGCAATCACCCTTCATCTCGCCGAAGACCCTCTCGATATGGCCGACTAGCCGGTCGACGTGTTCCTTGCGCACGGCAGTCTTCAGATCGTCAACGCGCTTGGGCAACGCGAGCACTAGCTCTGAACCGCCGGTGCCAAGGGCGTCAGACGCCTCACGCTCGACCTCAAGTTTCTGGCCCCACCCGGCGGATTTGGCCCTGCATTCCGACGCGCGCGTGACCCGGGCGGACTTCACGGGGACAGCTCGAAGAGCCACCTTGCAGCCCGTGCCCGACTTGATGCAGCGCAGGCACTCGGCCCACTCGTCGAGGCCCTCGCAGCCAGGCACCTGCAAATCTGAGGGCGGCTGCACTGCCGGGCGGCAGGGCGAAGTTCACCCCGCGATGCGCCTCGCCCATCTCGCGCATCTCGGCACAACTCATGCCTCGCAAGAACGCGCGCTGAACACCCGCGGAGACGCGCGCCAAGTCTGGGCGACGCGCCGCCGCCGAGGACAGCAGGCGCCGCGACGCCCGCCCCGCTGCCCCAGCGAACGCCCCCAGGGCCCCAACGCCCATGTCCCCGAAGCCCCTCGGCGCCACGCGTTCCCGACAGTCCAGCCGTCTGATCCCTTCCCGCGCATCCACTTGAAGACACATCTGAAGCCCATTGCGTCTCGGGCGCCCATGAGCGGTCGCCTCTGGATACATGAACTTGACCTAGGTGGCGACCTATTCGAGGATGGCCGCTGCGACCTCCTCCGACAGCCTCGACGCATCCTCCTCGGACAGAAACTCGGCGTCGCACCCGATGACCACGGTCTTCGCGGCGGCATGAATGTTCAGCGCGGCTGCCCTGGGAGCGTTAGCAAGGCAGTCGCCAAACGCTGCCTCGTCGAAGCTCAGGAATGCTTCGCGCGCCCCCGGATCAAGAGGCAATTCCACATGACTTGACCCTTCGCCCTCCTCCTCCAGCGCGGCGTAGTCGCCCGGGGAGGTCCCACGCAGTTAGTAGCGGCAGTGCACCTGGATGCTCCGACGCTGGCGCCGAGTCTCGAGGCGCCGGGGCACCTCGCGGGGCCCGCGGCCTAGGCCGGCCGCGGCATGCTCGACGCCAGCGTAAACCATCTGCTAACTGTCGGCGCGACCCAGCTCCTCGAGCTCATGGGCCACGCCCCCTGCCTGCCCCCTCGGCCTCACGCCGGGCCGCCAACAACACCTTTAGGACGTCGCCAGAGAAGTCGCCGTCGATCGCCTCGGGCGCAACCGACAGGGCCGACGGTGGACCACTTGCTACATCTTAAATATGCTTAGTGCGTTTTTTTTTGTCTGCGCTCTCAGTTCGGCGCCTTGTTTTTCAAGTCTCAACAAACAACTGAAAACACTTATAAAAATAAAAAAGTGCGTCGTTTCGGCGCTTCCAAACCAATGTTTAACGTTTGCAAATCCGTGGGTAGTGCGTTTCCGTTTCCTTGCGCATCCCCGTCGTCGTGTGTATACCAAGATGCTTTTCTGCGGCCGTCGCCAGATGGCCGGAAGGCGCGCCTGCGCGCCCACATGGCCGAATGGACCTCCGGGCCTGTTTCGCGACTGTGCCAGACAGGCGACAGAGCTGTTTTTTTCCGCGCATTTAGGGGGGGTAGAAGGGGCGAACGGCGGCAGGGCGGGGAGCGCGGGGGCCACACAGCCAGACAAGACACGGAGGAGCCTTCGCCGACAACGCAAACAAGCACAACAAGACGGCACACCAACGCGACGGACCGAAAACACATTTCTTTAAAATAAAAAAACGTCTTTTTTGCGCTTTCACCCTGTCGAGAGCCCGAATTAGAAAACGCTACGACACGCCCGGGGCGTTTTAAAGATGAACCAAGACGAACCACCCTCAGCGGCGCCGCCGGCGTCCGCGGGAACGTTCATGACACAGTCATCGAACGATCCGTCTAAATATTGTCTGGCGTCTGCTACCAGTAGCGGATCGTCGTCCACGATTAACTGAACGTTGGGGGGTCCTTCCTTCCAGCGCTCGACGATGAGCTGATGGGCGTCGAACCTGACGCAGTCATGGGGTCTGCTGGACGTCGGTCGGGTTCCGACGGAACCGCCAGATAGCTGGGTTGCGGGAGCAGCCCGCTCTGTTGCCCATAGATTCTGGCCGCGCATCAGCGCGCGGCCCGAACCTGTGGCAGCTGGAAGCATCTGCGGGACAGGTGGCGCAGAACTCCGAGGATGTCGGGGGCTGTCGGGTCTGCTCGGTGATCTGCACACCCTTCCCGCCCTCCAAATGACCGAAAATCATGGCCCCGGGCCTGGCGCGACGTGCTCCAGGCAGCTCGCGACACGCCAGCGCCCACACCGGCGAAGACGGCACCATGACAGGGCCAAACGTATTGCATTTTGCACGCCACATCGGCTCGGTGGCACTCGACCGCCACCCTGCCTCGAGCTGGATCCACAAGTACGACCGCCCCAGGGCCGGCCCACCCCGACATGTCCTTCGCGCACGGGGGCCCGTCGATCTCCACACGGTCGCTGGCGTTGAATCAATCGCCCCCCCCCCCCGACGCAGCGGCGCGGACCCAGAGGGCCAGCAAAGATAGCGCGAGCCAGCATGAAGTCGAACTGCGCCGTGGTACCTTCGCCCTCTAGCTGTTCGTCTGCGGCGAGAAGCGCGCGTCGCGGCGGCACCGCGTCGCCCCCCCGCGAAGCGAGCGTGCTCACGAGGACCCCGAATGTCGACAAGTGTTCCTCTCCTCCTCATCTCCTGAACAACATGTGGCGATGTCCACCCGCCCTCGCCGTCCACGACGAACGTTTCCATCGCGCCGAAATTCTGGATCCTTGAGCGGTCGATAGCGCCAAGCAACGTCGACTCGTGCTTGGATGCGACCTCCTGGCCGTTGCGCCACCGTGAGGCGCAGCAGATCAGGCGCATGATCACGCGATCCTTGCAGCGCAGGATGCCGCACTCGACGTGCTAGTTGAATCGCGTCGAAACGCGGAGTGCAGGGATGGTGCAGTGCGCAGGTGGACTTGCCGGCGCTCCTACAGTTGTTGACCACTGTAGGGATGATGTCGAGAATGTTCTTTGGTCTGTTGGCTGCTCGCAATACTCGTGCCATCACCTCCTTAGTGGTGCGCCACCATTGGAGATGTAGCTTGCGCAGCTCTCGCACGCGTGTCTCACGCGAGTCACCGCGAAGTGCTCGCAGGGCTATAGCGACCTCGAAGCGAATGCAATCTGAGGGCACCTGATTGCCTACAGTTGCGTCGGCAGCTCGTGGCACGGATCGTCTAAGCATTGCGCGTGTTACTGAACTCGCTCGCACCCCTGGTCGAGTAACACAGTCACCCGAGCACTACCCTGAGCCCCAGTGCTAGATGATGAACTGGCT